CCTTGGGGCTGTCAAGTGGGATGGGCCCCTGGTACACCAGGAGTACACCGGGCAGGTCTCAGGGCAGGCTCCCTTGACCCTGGTGGTGTGATGTGGTCACTCCCTGAGGGACTCCTGTGAGGGCCCAGTCGCCCGCCCTGGGCGGCCCCCATCCCATCTCAGGCCTGAGCTTTCTCAGCTCCAGCAGAAAGCACCACCTCCAGTCCAGGACGGGCAGCCCCATTGTGCTGTCTGACCACTCCCCATGCCAGGGGCCCCAATAACCCCAGCCAGACTGGCCCCATACTCCCTCTTCTCCCAGGTCCTGCCCCTCCTGGGAGTCAGCCCCACAGGAAGGCCCTTGTCCTCCCTTCCCTGTGCCTTCTCCTGGGCTGAGCCCTGAGCTGTACAGGGACAGAGCCAGTCCTTTCTGGGGGTCGTCTCCCAGTCTGGGGTGGCTCCAGGCCCTGTGCAGGTCCTCATTTCTGCCTGGGTTGCCTAACAGTGAGACAGAGCTGCCTCCTGTCACTGCTTGGGAGGCGAAGGTAAGAGCCTGATGCACGGTGGTGGGGGGCTGGCTCAGGGATGTGGGGACTGGGAGGGTGGTCGGTGAGGCAGAGGAGGCAGCTGGCCTGGGCAGTGGCTGCTGTCACTGGGAGGGGCAGCACTCCCTGCTGGAACTGACCCCAGGTTGCTGTATCTTGGACAGCTTGATAAAATTCCAAAGTGAGAACCACAGTTGTGGCTTGGGGGTGGCTGCCCGCCTGTGTCAGGACCTTACCTAGAGGCTGGGACCTGACCTAAGACTGGTGTGTCTGTGGCCTGAGGATGGCACGTCCCGGGTCCCAAAGGGACGGGGGCCCACTGGCGCTCATTTACTCAAAAGCTCTCAGCCCTCAGGGTCTGCCCTTCCCTGGCTCCCTCCAGCTGGGTCCCAACAGGGCTCCAGAGCCCAAGACCCAGCATCCACGGGAGGCTCTGGGAAGTCTGGCAGCTCCCCTAACTCCAACATTCCTCATTTGACAGCAAATGCGGCGGGAGATAACACGAAAGAGCAAGTGGATGGAAATGCTGGGACAGTGGGAGACATATAAGAACAGTAAAAAGGTAATGTGTGGAGGGAGAGGCCCCGGGAACCACTCTCTGCAGAGACAGGGGAC